TGGTGCCTTCCAGATGTTGTTGAACTATGACTCCCATCCTTGGCCCAGTCAGCAAGGCCAACAGTTAGGGGAAATGAGAGTTATAGCCCAGCAATGCATGGTAGGCACGGCATTGACTATTCCATGATTAAATAGTTATTCCTTCTGCCTTTGAGGTTGGGCGACTAGGAACACCCCATCTAAAATTTCCAGCACCTTCACATTATATTTCAGGGATGGGAAACTTGTGACCCTGCAAATGATGCTGGACTCCACTTGCTATTAGCCCATCCATCCAGCATGGCCAATGGTCAGGGGTGATGGGAGCTGCAGCCCAGAAGAGGCACAGGTTACTCATACCTGACAAAGAACAACACTGAACACTGCTGCTGAGGTATGATTACCAGACTGTGACTGTAATCAGGACTGTGTCACCAGAACTGGGCTGCGGAGAAAAAAGGGGGTGCTATTAGCAATGATTCATGGAAAGCCAGGTTTTGCATATGTGGGTGAGGGGTGGCACAGTCTCCCCTATGTTGTCGGAGCCAAAAGCTGTTGCAATCCAGCAAGGCCCCTGTGACTGGATGAAGCTGCTCCTAACAGACTAAGCTGAAGATCTCCTTGAGTTTCTATGTGGCGGAAGCACGATTCGAGCCGGCTTGTATGAATTGCGAGACTGAGCAACATACGAAGCTCTATCCAGTGTGCTACCTATAACTTGAGCTTTGCTTTTTTGCCATCCTGGGAACTAGCACTTTACTTTGCCTAAATGGAAACTGAACTTTGCCTTGCTGCACTTGGTCAACATGTCATCTAAGAACCAAGCTGCAGGTACCTCAAAATTATATGGTACTGATTTCCATGGGCTAGATGGTACAACATCTGCAGGAGAAGGTAGAACATGCTTCCCTGGGAAGCAGAGGAAAATTCCCAGAACAAAGGAAACCAGCATGTCAGGGATTTCATAGTCTGGCTTTCATCCTGACAGGCTAGCATTTTCTGCATAGGAAGGGCTCCCTACCACCCCATGGGGAGAATTCAAAAGCATGGCACATACAGGTGCACCTGCTTGCTGCCTGAAGCAACACAGTCCAAAACAGTCTGTATCGCATGAATGATTCTGCTGCTTACATAAGGAAATTTCCTTGACCACCTTAGGAATCATCCTGGTATCATACAGGGAGCCTACCTTGAAATAAAGCAGGCAATTCTGTAGCATAAGCAACTGCCCCCCCAGGAGAAAATTCAGCTCTCACCTTGTATCTTAAATGACACATCTGAGGTTATGGAGGAGGGGAAGAATTCTCACTGACTATCAAAAACATCAACTTCAGTGCCTTCCTGCCTTCCTCACTTCTTCTGAGGGAGGGAAATATGCCGAAATGCATCCAGGAAAGGTTAAGACAGGTAATGAACCAAAAGTACCAGGAATTGACGGTGTCCAAAAGCTATTGTGCTCTCAAGAACATTGGGGGGGGGGGGGAGGAGAAAGAGAAGTGAAGCGAATGTATCTGCAGTGCGCTGAGTCACCAATTCAGTACAGCCTACACATGTTGATTCATAAAATGGCACATCAGCCCCACTGTCATAAGCCCTGAGTGCTTCCCTGAGCATTTAGGCACTCTCTTAGACTTGCCTCTGTGCATGCATTTGTGCTCCTCGCATATACAGCCTGTTGCTTTCTCCCCCCAGACATCCACTCACAGGCCATTAGGTCCAAGCCAGATTTCCCCAGCAGCACTAACAAGCTGCAAGCAGACTCTGCTCTGCTCTGCTGCTGGCGAGCGGATGTGTGGAGTAATGTGGGTGGGAGAAACTCATTCATTTGGAGAGGGGTGCAATCAAAATGAGGGAAGCCAAGGCCAGTGCAATGCCTCATGTACACCCACATGATCTTAATCCAGTTCCTGCTGTCAATCCTTCTCCAGCATTGCATTGTGCTGGTTAAGGATGTTTCTGCACAGCTAAAGCATCATGTACTAAATGCTGCTGCTGATCCCTGGTGTACATTTCACGTGAGACGCACAGCTTGGCACCAACAACCCTATCTCCCTTCCACATGCAAAGAAGGGAGCCCAGTCTTATTGCGGTGTCAGGGATTCCTGCTGAAGATCAGGGATGGAGAGCCTATGACTTTGCTAGACTACAATTTCCATCATCCCCAACCACAGGCCATGCTGACAGAGGGCTCTTTCACATTTCCTCTTGTCCTTCTGCTTTTCTCCAGGGAAAATTACTCTATAGTGCTCAATAGGAGTAAATGGCAATTTGGGTTTTCTCCGGATTGACGTTTGCTCCAATTCAGCACTAAAGAGTGGGTTTTCCCTGGGACAGGAGTGAGGCAAGTGGAAAACCACTCAAACCCATGCTTGCTAGGCATGGGATAAGAGCAGGCATAGGCAACCTTGGCCTTCCAGATGTTTTGGGACTACAACTCCCATGATCCCTAGCTAACAGGACCAGTGGTCAGGGATGATGGGAACTGTAGTCCCAAAACATCTGGAGGGCGAGGTTGCCTATGCCTGAAGGCTGATCAAAGCTGGAATCCAACAACATTTGGAAGGTCACAGGTTCCCTGTCCCTGATTTATAGCTATTAAAGGGATGATCCAATTTACAGTTTTCTTTATTCTATGATATCTGGTGTGATTGATAGATTTCAGTTTATACCCACCTTCTGACACAAAGCACCCAAGGCAATTAACCACAGCAAGGACAGTCAACAATAAAACAATTTTTAAAATCAAGAACAATGTGGTTGGCAGAGTGTTGCATTTGGATTAGGGAGACCAGGGTTCAAATCCTCTCTCAGCCATAAAGCTCTCCGTGTGGCCTTCTGTAAGTCTCTCTCAGACAAGCATCCCACATAATATTAGCAGAGGTTTCCCCATTAAGCTCTGATGTTGTTGAATACAGGGCACCCCTCATGAGAAAGAAAATGGAAAGGAAGAAACATGCACACCTGGAAAGTTTTAGCAATTAGTATCAGCTGCCTGGTTCAAAAAGGGAAGCAACTTAATTACAGGTGCAAGTTGGCATTACTATTTTAAGAAGCAAAACACTTGTTAAGAGATGTAAAGGGGGAAAATAAAGCACCGGATTCTCTTCGCTCAAGAGTCTTTAATTAATCTGGCTTGGTGGTAGGTTGAGAGTTATAGAGACGGGCAACTGTTTCCTGCATAGGAATAGAATATGTCATCCTGCAAAGGCTTGAAACAATGGGTAAAGCCCCACTTTTGCAACTGAATATATTATACAGATGAAGCACATTTACCTGTACTTTTCTGTTTTGCATGAGCAGCACCAGGTTGGTAAAGGCTGATCTACAGTCCACCTTGTCAGAGGCAGCCCAAGAGACTTCTGTGGTGCGGCTTGCCTATTTCCAGTTACGACTGTTCCTGGATGAGGCCACAAGGATCCATGCTCTAGTTACTGCCTGTTTGAACAATTGCAGCGGTAGCCAACATGGTGCCCTCCATATGCTGTCGGAGCCTGCTCTCATCAGCCATAGCCAGCATGGCCAATGGTCAGGGACAACAGGAGATGAAGTTCAACAACACTGGCTTCAAAAGATGATCATGGAGGCCAAGGGTATCAACTGCTACTAGCCGTAATGGCTATGCTCTGCCTCCATGCTTGCAGCATTGGTGCAGAAACACCTGCTGAAGATCTAGCAGTTAACAAGCACCTCCCTGCCCTTTCCCCATAATTTGTGATTTGTGTCAAAGCACACGCACACACGTGATGGCGGGACGGTCAGAGATGCAGCCGTCACCAAAAGGCTTTGCTTCAGCTTCATGCAGATTAATGAGATGATGTTTGCAGAGCCAGCTCTCTCCACTGGTTCCCTACAAGGCACTGCTGTTCTTGCCTGCTTCGTATAGGCTGCGTAGATTCCAGACACTCAGCCAAGTCTGTGCAAAGAGCGTATTGTGACTTGAGCTCAATAGCACCATGACAATGCACAAAGAGGGTCAAGGACACCCTGAACCAGAGCACTCTCTGTTCTTTTATAATGTGTGTGTATGTGTGTGTGTGTGTGTGTGTGTGAGAGAGAGAGAGAGAGAGAGAGAGAGAGAGAGAGAGAGCGCGTGCAGCAGCATCACCATACAAATCAGTCTGGAGGAGAGCTGCTCGGCTTCCCATTGAGGGTGTCGGACTGACAGTTACATAGCGTTGCCCTGTGTGCCAGCATGAGAGCTAGCGTGACGCAGTTTAGCAAATACCAGTGTTGGACTCAGACCAGGAAGATCTGGGTCCAAATCACCAGTGTGTGTTGGATTACTTCAGCCCCCTTGCCATATCTGGGGCCCAGAGCATGTTATACATGAGCACATGATTCTGGCCCAGCCTTGCGCCCTCCAGCTGTTTTGGACTCCCATTCCCATAAGCTCCTGCAAGCTGTTTTCTTTCATTATTGAGAGTCAGTGTGATGTTGTGGTTAGCTTCCATTGACCTTTTTTCAAAGAAAGCCATGAGAGACTCCTCAGTCACTCTTCACTTTTAAGATTGTAAACCGCCTTTAGTGCCTTGGCAGAAAGGTGGCCTATACATCCAATGAATGAATGAATGATTAATGTGCAAATGTAATTTGAAATGCAGAGGGGTGGGGGGACATGGACCCATGACCTTGCTCAATTTTAGGCTGGTGATGTGTGCACAGCCTTTATCTGGAGGAATCGATGAGGCAATGCTTTCATTTATTAACCTTCAGAGGCCCCTTCCAACCATCCTTCCTTGGTTTCTTCCTTGATTTCTTTTGCTGTGTTTCCTTTTATTGTTTTGACCTGGCTTCACCCTGTATCCTCAACTCACCTTGTATCAGAAAAGGCTGCTTTTGCTGCTTTTCTGGCATTGTTGCTTTAAAGAAAATTAAAAGGGGGGGGGATCAGAAGTGCACAGTGACTGATGAAGTGAATCCCTGCAGCATCACTCACCTTCTTAATTTCCTTTTTGTGAAAAATTGAGAACGGCATCTTCTACAACTTCTGTCCTCCACTCTTTCCCTCTATGGCAGCCTTTGCCTGGGATAGCTCAGTAGGCAGAGCACGAAATTCTTCATCTCAGGGTTGTGGGTTCGAGTACCATGTTGTGCAAAATATTCCTGCATTGCAGGGGTTGGACTAGATGACCCTTGTGGTCCCTTCCAACTCTACAGTTATATGAAACAAGAGAACAGAGAAGGCAACAGTGAGGTGGAGGGAGACCAGAGGGGAAGAAGGCTCTTCAGTCAGTGGTAGAATATCCATTTTGCATGCAGAAGGTTCCAGGCTCAATCCCCAGCATCTCCAGGTATAGCTGGGAAGACCCCCATTTGACATCCTGGAAAAGCCACTTCCAGCCAGTGTATAAAGTGCACAGCTAGATGGACCAGTGTTCTGACTCACCATAAGGCAGATCCTTATGTTCCTGACGCATTAGCATTTTCTATTATTAATGTATGTGTTCAAAGGCACCTTGGGAGGGCTTTATCCTGAAAGGCAGTCTACAAATATTTTAAATAAATAAAAATCCAGTATCATGTTGAGAGCCATTGGCAGATGACATTCCTCAAAATGTGCTCCTAGACTTTAATGGGGTTAAAGAGACAGCATTTCCCAAATTTTGGAAATAAAGTGTGGTTCAGTGTGCTTCACTCCCAACACGCCATATTAGAATGTGAAAATATGTGAACTGGTCACTGCTAGCAGGAACAGCGAGGGAAGAACAAGTAAGAGCAGCGTGTGTGTTAAAACTCCTAAGCAATGACAGTTGCCCTCTAAATCTTGCACTTTTCCCTCATCTTTCTCTCTTATGCACTTCCAGCAAAACACTGCAGGGCTAAATCAGCTGCCGTAAAGGCTGGTCCAGATTCCCAACTTGATTTCCACTGCCCCACTCTGTAACTTCCTCTCTAAAGCTCTCTTGACTTCACCTCATTTCTAGTTCCCCCTCTCCAAAAAGAGATTCCCTACTCTATTTTCCAAATCACTCAGGCTGTTTTTCAGGTACAAATTTCAGGGAATAAATTGCCTTGGCACTGTGATTGGTTTGGAGATTAGGGGTAGGGAATCATGGGCGTAGCCAGGATTTTTGTTAGGGGAGCAGGACTTGGTTGGGGAAGGCAGGAGTTTTGTTTGGGGGCAGAACCGACATGATTGGCCAGTTAAGTATTTCTATTGTTTTACTTGATGGGGGGGTGCCCCCACTTGACTACACCCATGTAGAGAATCCTTTTCAGCCAGAGGGTCACATGCCAGTGGTGGGCAGGGTCAAAAAAGCGGGCAGAGCAACAAATGTGGATTTTACCTTCATAACAGTAGGATAGCTTTTTCCACACTCCCACACCCCTCCCTATCCTCCATCCGGCAAGCAGGAAGCAGGATCTGATTTCAAGGGCATATTCCAGCCATGTAAAAAGCACCCAAAAGGAGTCCTGGGGGCCAGAAAGATAAGACGAGGGGGCCACATTTATCCCCAGGTCTGTCCTGGAGCTTTCAAGTTTCCCCATACATAATTCAGGGAAAAACCCCCCAATGATATCCAAATTCACTCTCCCTAGGAAGCCAAGGGGCTGAATAGCCAAGAGATAACGAGAAGCTTAAAAAAAAAAAGGAAAAATCGGTTGTGACTGCATAGTATTTAAAGCTGGGGAGAGATGAATATGGGGCAGGAAGAGAAGCCTCCCGCTCTGAAATCTGCCAGCTTAAGCAACGGCTTCATTTTGCTTGATGGTAAGGTGAGCCCTGGAGCTAGCAATGCCTTTCATTCAGAGTTGCTGGGTCAAAGAATGGATATTCAGCACCACAGACAGCTCCCTGCTCTGTAGCCCTTACAGAGCAACTTGAATCTTCAGCAGTGATCAAGATCCTAGGGCGGTTTGTTGTTAGCCTTGCAAACAGACCCATAGGCGACACTTACAACAGGATCAAGTGACCAACCCCTTGTTTTATTTCAAGGCCAAAAAAAATTAAAAATCTATTATGCATACGGGAGCACTCAAGATCATCATCCCGAAATACTTCAAAGGGTGTTCCTTCCACTGCCTGCCTGCTTTCTCTGGTGGGATCTAATTACACATGTATGGCGTGCAGTGGGCTATTATATAACTGGTGCTGTTTGATATTCTGCTGGCAGAAGCACCAGCTGAAGAAAAGGGAGATATATTGCATTTCATTCGCTTCAGCGGTAGAGTCACTAGTTAAAAATATAAAATAAAAAGATGGATACAGATGATGCATCATACTCTCGATTAGGATGTTCTATTTTGAAAGATATTCCCCACCTCCACCCCCAGGAAAAGTTCTGAAAAGGAGTTATTTTAAACTGATGATTGTCCACCCCATTCACACTGAAGCACGAGCTTCCACGCTGCTTGAGATGTCTGTAGTGAGAGGAATTGGCGCACACCAATGATTTATCTGACATAGAAAGGAAGTCTATCCTAAGGTCAGATTGACTCTGGTAGTCTGTCCTGGAGTGGGTATCTTAAAAGGCCATGAAAGTAAATTATATGGTTAAGCTAAGAAGTTCCAAATAACATGTCAATCAATTTCTCAATCTAGCTCAGTATTTTCTAATTCAGGCCTTTCAATCTAGCTCAGTATTTTCTAATTCAGGCCTTTCAGATGTTGCTGAACTACAACTCCTACCATCCCTGGCTATTGGCCATGCTTGCTGGGACTGATGGATATTGTCATTCAGGGATGTCATAGAGAGCCAAACATTCCTCATACCTCATCTACTCGGACTGGCAACAAATCTTCAGGGTTTCAGGCAGAGTTCTTTCCCACTACTGCTACCTGTTCCTTTAAATGGAGATGGGAGGGACTGAACCAGAGACCATTCTGCATGCAAAGCATGTACCACCAAGAAATGGTCCCTCCCAGATCTTTCTGGGCCTCAGACACCAGAGGCAGCCTTATCACATGGCAAAGTAAGGCAGGTTCAGTGGAATATGCTAAAACTGTCTTGTCCTAGTGAGCAGCCTGGCTGCCAAATTCTGCACCAGCTGAAGTTTCCGAACTGCCTCGGAAGGTTGGCGATTCGAATCCCCACGATGGGGTGAGCTCCCATTGTTTGGTCCCAGCTCCTGCCAACTTAGCAGTTCAAAAGCACATCAAGTAGAAAAATAGGTACCACTCTGGCAGGAAGGTAAACAGTGTTTCCGTGCGCTGCTCTGCTTTCGCCAGAAGCGGCTTAGTCATGCTGGCCACATGACCCAGAAAAACTGTCTGCAGACAAATGTTGGCTCCCTTGGCCAGTAAAGTGAGATGAACGCCGCAACCCCAGAGTTGTTTGCGACTGGACTTAACTGTCATGGGTCCTTTACCTTTACCTTAGTAATCTAACCCAGGGGTTACCAGAGCTTAGAAAACAGAAGTTAGGCTACCTCTGTCCAAATAAGGGCAGCTGGGTCACCAGCCACAGCTGATGGAAGACATTCCACACCACTGAGGCCACTTGAGCCTCAAGTGACAGCAGAGGATCCAAGAGTACCCTCAAGCCACATATCTGCTCCTTCAGATGGAGTGTAACCCCAACAAGAACAGGCAACCTGCCATCCATGCAGTCTAAGGAACCACCCACTAACAGCGCCTCAGTCTTAACTGAATTGAGCTTCAGATTGGACTTCCGGGGGAGGTCCTGGAAGTGGAAAACAGAAAGGGAGGTGTGAGGAGGTCGAGGAAATAAGGGAATGAAAGATAAGACATTGAAATTGTTCTGTATTTGAAATGGTTTGTGTCATGCTTTGTTAGTTTTATGTTTTTCTGTTTTTTCTTTTTTTTCTTTCTCTTTTCTCTTTTTGTTTTTTGTTTTTCTGTTTTGTTGTGTTTAAATGGTTGAAAATTAATAAAGATTATTTTTTTAAAAAAATGAATTGAGCTTCAGATTGTTGTCTCTCATCCAGTCCATTACCAAGGCAAAACAATGGTCCAACACTTCCACTGCCTCACTTGTAGATGTAAAAGAGAAGTGGAACTGTGTGTCATCAGCATATTGCTGACAGCGCACTCCAAAACTCTGGATAACCCCACTCAGCAGTTTCATATACCGTAGATGTTATAGATTATAGGGGATAAAATTGAACCCTGAGGACTCCATGGGGATGAAAGGCACTCCCCAAGCATCACCCCCTGGAGATGACCATCCATGTAGGACCAGAACCACCACAAAGTGGGGCCACCCATCCCCAACTCCAGAAGGATACCATGGTTGATGGTACGGAAAGCCACTGAGAGCTTGAGGAGAATTAACAGGGACACATTTCCCCTGTCTCTCTCTCCCAAAATAAGTCATCATACATGGTGACCCAAGCAGTTTCTGTGCCAGAACTGGGCCTAAACCCTGATTGAAATGGATCTAGAAAATCAGTTTCCTCCAAGAGCACCTGGATCTGGTTCTGTGACCATCCGCCCAAGAACCTTGCCCAAGAAGGGGAGATGGGCAACTGGCCAGCAGAGTAGGAAGCAGACAGATCTGATCCTTGAGGCATGATCACAAGGAAGGCCTCTGTAAACCCCTCTGAGCTTCCTATAAGGTTTATGCAAGGGGCGGCGGGGGGAGTGTTAACATACATGTCAGATTTACATACCCGAGCAAGACTTGTTATTTAAGTTTACCTGGGCAAGCACATGTAAACAAAAAAGTTTTTAGGAGGTGCCGAAAACTGTACAGCAAAGATGCCTGCCTTCTATCAATAGGCTGGGAGTTACACGGTGTATGTGCTGCCATACTTGCAAGTGTGAAAGAGCCACTTCTGCCAATCAAAGTGGGCATATATGGGGTAAAGCAATTCTTCAAGGGAACAGGTCCCAAACTGTTAAGGGCTCTATATAGTAATAGAGAAGCCTTGAATTTCACCCAGCAGCAGCCAATTCAGATCACTGAGCAGAGGTGTAATATGCTGGCAAGGTTTCACTCCTGTCAGTAATCACATCGCAGCATCCTGAACTGTTTTGGACTCCAGCTCCCATCAGCCCCAGCTTGCATGGCTGATGGTCAGGAATTACGGGAGTTGTAGTTCAAAGCATTTGGAGGACACCAGATTAAGGAAGGTTTCCCCAGAGCAATGAGTTTTGGATTTCCAACAGGCTTTTCACCATCCCATTTCACTGTCTTTAGTAGCCCGAGAGAGAGAGGCTGAAAATGTAGATCCAAGCACGTTTCCCTTTAGCCGCACAATGATGTAATGCAGCTAATGAAGGGGAATACAACTCTGTAGCAAATTACCTGGAGACTGGGATTGACAATCAGGCAGTGATTGCAGCTCTGCAAAACACTGTTATCAGCCAGAGTGCCTTGATTCTAAATTAGTCAAAGCCCTTGCTGCTGCTATTTAAAAATGGACCTCCAAATGAATGAACGGTGCTGGAATAAAATGAGTTTGCCCCGTCCAATTTAGAGTCTATGAAGACTGATGAATAAGATGACCACAGATATGAAGGGTTTCCCACAGGTAGCTGGTTGGCAACTGTGAAAACAGGATGAAGAACATCTATGAAGCTCCTCCAGCTCAGTACTGTCTACACTGACAAGCATTGGTTCTCCGGGGTTTTACGCAGGGAGCCTCTCCCCGCCCTACCTGGAGATGCTGAAGACGGAACCTGGGACTTTCAGCATGCAAGACAGATGCTCTGCCACTGAGCTGCAGCCCTCCTCCAGGGCAGGATTAGATGGGCCATTGGCCTAATGTAGCAGGCTTCTATTATGTTCTTGCTTAAGGCTCATTCAGAAGGCCAGATTTGGTCAGAAAACCTTTTAAAATCAACTCAGGCATGATGTCCCACAACAGAGCAGAGGTGGCCCTCCAGAGGTGGTTGGACTACAACTCCCACCTAACCTAAGAGGCCTTGCTGGCTGGGACTGATTTAAGTTTAAGCCACAATTTCCCTACCCCTGTCACACAGGCTCCTGCAGAACTATACCCAAAGACTTCAGACAAGGAGCACAGGCAGAAATCCAGCATCTAAGCACAAAGTAAATTGACGTAAAGCTTTGATCAGTAAAACCATCCCATGGAGAGATGTCCATGCTCTCAACTTGAGGGACAACGCTCAGTGTGGCAGATGAATCATTATGCCCTCGGTGAGAGATAAAAGGAGAGGGAATCTCCATGATCTGACTTCCACATTTGCTTGGGCATGAGGTTTAGGGACATATACTGATCTACATCCGGAAAAAGGGTGGGAGAAGAGAGGCAGCACCTCCTATTCGCCAAGAGGGGAGCTGCCAAGAGGACAGCAGATCTGGCCTCCAAGGAGTATGCCACAACTGTTGCTGTCACTGTGGCAGCAGCGGGCAATGCATTTCTTGGAGACTGGATTGGCTGCCCTGGTGGATTCTGCTGCCTGAGGCGCTTGCCTCACCTTGCCTCATGGGCGAGTCGGACCTGAGGCTCGAAATGTTTTGTCCCATTCATGTCCTCATAGAGACCCAACCTGGTGCATCATAAACTAGCCACACCACCAGCTCTTCCCTCCATTATGTCCTTGGACCAGAGGCGGATTTAGGGCAGCATGACTGGTCCACAGCACTGGGCACCCAGCCTAGCGGGTGCCACAACTATGACGTAGTGAATTGAACAGAAGACATGGCGAGAGGTGGGAGGTGCCGAATTTTGAGCCAGCAGAGGGTACTGCTGATATTTGAAAGACTGAAATCCGGCCCTGCTTGGACCACAGTGCTGCTCCCGGTCGGGGAATCCTGGGACTGGGGAGCCTCTTCCTCCCCTCCTCCTCCTTCTCCCTTCACAATTCCTTTTCCGCAGAGGACTTTGGAAGGGCAGGGTGGGCGGAAGGAGGAGGAGGAGGAGGGGGGGAAGGCACCTGCTGGTTACGCATCAAGAGCCCCAGCGGTGCTGTCTATTATTATTATTGTTATTTTGCATACATTCCCTTTTTTATGAATGGAATTCTCCAGCTTTACTATGCCACAAGGCGCGCGCGCGCCCCTATCCTCTGCAGCCAGGTGATTGGCTCCCGCCGCCCATTGACGTCACCCGGGAGAAAGACATGCGAAGTGAGGAGCCGCCCCAGCCCCAAAGCCTGAAGTGTGAGTCACCCTCAAAAAGGGGGCTTGTTCAAGTATAACTCCGCGCTTCTCCTTGCCAGTCTGCCTGCCAGCCAGCCTCGCTGCTCTTCGGATTGCAGCTGCAACGGAGCCTGCAGTCCGCAGCCCTCCTGGTATAGGAGGACCGAGGGCATCTGCATTGAGAGAGGCGGATTCCTTGTCCTGCAGCCACCCAATCGGACGCGCAAGGCAGCGGACCCCCCTCCCCTCCATCCCGATTGAATGTGCAGCCTCCTGTTCTGGAACATCACCCGAGGTAAGTGCCGCCGCCGCCACCATCGCCGCCCTCCTCTTTTCCGCAGTATTTGACATGCTCAGGACAGACCAGCTTCTCTGCATCAAAGCCCCTTTCCCAATGCAAAAGGTGAGACCCCCTCCCCCCGCAAAAGAAATCCATTTAAAAATTAAGCCTCAGAGCTGCAATCCTGTATGCTTTTACCTGGGAGGAAGCCTCAGTGAACTAAATGAGACTGACTTCTGAGTAGACATGGACAGGGTTGCAGACATGGCATACATTTAAAGGACACCCCAAAATACTCCTGGGAACTGTAGTTTATTAAGGGTGCTGGGAATTGTAGTTCTGTAAGGGGTATGGCTTGCATGCATTCTTAGTCCCCGGGCAAAAGAGAGGAAGGGGTTTAGAAGCATCCAAACCTCTGTCTCACTTTCTCACCCACATATAGCATTCCCCACTCTTGCCCTGTCTCCAGGAAGCAAACCAGAATGTAGCTCTGCAGTATGAATTTGGGGGAAATAATTTCTAATAGATAACTGCCTGAATTTTACTAGGCACGACATGGCATGATGACCAAATAGACTCAAGCGTTGGGGGTTAGTACAACAGACAAGCAAAGAAGAAAAGGGAGCCCGGTCTTTGGCATATGTAATAACAATGTCAGCTCTGTGGCAAAGGCTGAGATGAGCAGGCTGCTGCCAGACCTTACAAATCCACCGGTGATGCTTTTGGTGCCAAAAGACTGTAATCAGCCTAAGAGCTGCACTGTAAGGCATCATTGTCTTCTCACAGTTTTCCATTATAGAGTCTTGCGTAAACTTTGGGGAAAGTCGGTGATTTGAGAGAGCTCAGTCCGTGTGTGTTTTGGGCAAGGGAGGCGGTGAAGGAAGGAAGGAAGATTATTGCCAGGTACGCAGTGGTGATGTAATCCGGGGAAGCGTACGTTGAACAGAAACAATAGTGGCATTTTGTTTACTATCCTTTATCTTGATGGCTTTATTTGAGAAAAAAGAAAGGAGGAGTGGGGGGGAAGAACGATGGCAAACAATGACAGGCCCTTGCCAGAAATATCCCATCCAGAGACCATAGATAAGAAGCATGCAGCCATCACGTGCAACAGGGGTGGCATTTTGATGGGCACTCCTACCACCAGCAGCAAACTTCAGCACTGAAAGGTAGCCTGTTTGCCTCTGCCTTGATTCCTAGCACCATAAAGGCTGGAGTTGGTTCTAAAACCCCCACCCACCTCCATTAACACACACACACACACACACACACACACACACACACACACCTGGTCCCCAGACACTTACAAACGCCTGCCGATTTCCATCATGTCTCAGAGGATGCTAAGTGGGTGTTTTTGTGCCACTGCAGGTCATCAGAGGACAGCATGAAAGAGGAGGTGCGCCTCAATGCCACTGAAGACCAGCAGCCCGGCTGGTTCCTGCCCAGCAATGGCAGCAGCAATTCCCTGTATCTCTCCGAAGCTCCTCCTCCTCTTCCCTTGAATCCTTGGGACGTGGTGCTTTGTGTTTCCGGGACCATCATCTCCTGCGAGAATGCCATTGTGGTGGCCATCATTTTCTACACCCCTGCCTTCCGGACTCCGATGTTCCTCCTGATCGGGAGCTTAGCCACCGCAGACCTGCTAGCCGGCTTGGGCCTCATCTTCCACTTTGCCTTTGTTTACTGCATCCAGTCCCAGGTGGTGAACCTCATCACGGTGGGCCTCTTGGTGTGCTCCTTCACGGCCAGCGTGGGCAGCCTCCTGGCCATCACCATAGACCGGTACCTGTCCCTCTACAATGCGCTGACCTACTATTCGGAAAGGACAGTGACCCGGACATACATCATGCTCATCATCACCTGGGGGGTCTCCATCTGCTTCGGACTGCTGCCCGTCATGGGCTGGAACTGCCTGAAGGACGACTCCACCTGCAGCATCGTCAAACCCCTGACCAAGAACAACCTCATCATCCTCTCCATCTCCTTCTTCATGGTCTTCGCCATGATGTTGCAGCTCTACGTGCAGATCTGCAAGATCGTCTGCAGGCACGCACAGCAGATTGCCCTCCAGAGACACTTCTTGGCCACTTCGCACTACGTCACCACCAGGAAAGGCATCTCCACCTTGGCTGTCATCCTGGGGACTTTTGCTTCCTGTTGGCTCCCCTTTGCCATTTACTGCCTCCTCGGAGATTACACGTACCCAGCTCTCTACACCTATATGACAATACTCCCGGCTACCTACAATTCCATGATCAACCCTGTGATCTATGCCTTCAGGAACCAAGAAATCCAAAAAGTGTTGTGGACTATCTGCTGCGGCTGCATTTCTTCCACCATGCCTTTCCGGTCCAGATCTCCCAGTGACGTCTGAGTCATCCCACTCCCAAGGATCCTGCGCTGCTCAAAGACTAATTCGCAAAAATCCTTTCCCCCTCCTTCATTTCTCCCCTTCCTAATGTCCTTTCCCTTATGTGAGTGAACTTGCCGTTTTATCTTTTTATTTATTTTTCACTTAGGGAAAGAAGAGAGAAATATATATCATTTATTTTTTTAATCCATACATTAAAAAACAAAACACAAACGTGTTTCGGACAGATTGGTGTGTGTCTGTGTGTTTGCGTGTGTGTGTGTGTGTCTGTGTGTTAGTTACATGTCCAAAATCTGATGTCAGTTGTTTGTTTGAGATCTTTGTAATGCATTATTTTCTTAAATGGGAAGAAACCTCAAGACCTTTTGACCTTGCTTTTTGAGTTCCTACAGCCTTAATTACCTCAGATCTTCAGAAAATATTTTTCTACATTTAAACAAATTCCATTGTATCCCCTACTCCATCTTTTATTTCTCCCACCCCACCTAACTGATGGAAGAAGAGAGAGACCTGAAATTCGCCAGCTTCTAAAATAAATGTACACATTATTTATTTCTATTTTCCAGCTTTTAGAAACAAAATAGATTTCCCCCTGTTCTGTATTTTGCTGCCCTCTGGTGTTCGTTCTGTTTTAATGCACATAAAAATACGAAGGTGGGGGAACAGGGACAGAGGAGGATTATTTTGCATGTCTAGCAAAGCCAGTATTAACAAATGGAATGTATAACTATTAGCTATAAACAATGTGAGTTGAAAGAGATTAATATGTTGCTAAGGCTACAATCCTAGACACATTTACCAGGGAGCAAGTCCCACAGAACTAAGTGGGACTTACATCTAAGTAGGCATGCCTAGGATCGTGCTGTCATGAACCTCAGAGGTAATACTCTAAAATAAGTGATTTAAGGATCACAGTCATTGCACTAGAAACTGTCATGCACAGGAGAAAGGGGGGGGGCATTTCTGACTACGGGGAAACAGAACAGCCAACATTGAAAACCATGGATCACATAGTCTATAAATCAACCTTTCTCAACCTGGTGCCCTCCAGATGTTGTTCAGCAAAAGCTCCCATTGTCCCAAGCATTGGCCATCTGGGGGGTTTATGTCGAGTAACATCCAGGAAGGGGCTGGGGCAAGCTGATCTATATACTGCATTTCCTCCCCTGCTCCTCTGAATTTGCACAAATCCTGGCAAGGAAATTAATGTAACAAGGCACTTTTGGAAATCTGATGTTTTTACTACTGTGTTGCAGAGCAGCTTATAGAAAAGGCTCTGTATGAGTTGAGAAGTACTGTACACTTTTGTTTACAGCCATCAGAGAAATAAAGATAATTTTGTGATACACGTGGCTGCCTGCTGCTTTGGGGGGGGGGGTTGTGCTTGTTGTTTTGCAGGTGGCAGAGGTTGCTCCAGGGCCAGCTGCAGAGACTGAAAGGGCTCCTGTGCCGATCCTGCGCGTTCTCACCCCTAAACCTGTTGCTGCCCCCTGCCTTGCACCCTCAAACAGCAGCCTACTTAGTCATTTCAGGTTGCAAACACCTTGACAGCAAAAACTCATTTTGGATATGAAACTCTGGGAGTTGAGTCACAGCAAATACCAGCAAAGTATTGCCACGACCCTCCTGCACAGAGCTATTCTTGTCACTGAGAATGTAGGTATTACATGCAAAGACAGTGGGGCATGTTGTTAATTTCAGATCTTCATTTCATGGTCTTATGGGCCACGAAGAAGGTCCCTTTTAAAAAACAGCAGTGTGTGTTACTTCAAGCTGTGAAGCACACAACTAACATGGCCCTTCTCTTCCCCAAGTAGTATCTGGGGTTGCCAACGTGGTGCCCACGGGCACACATGCACCCCCCCAGAGGCCCCCAGGGTCCCTCCATACCCTTGTTCCCACTGAAGGCTTCAAACTAACATCCCACTAGAGCTAACAGAACAGGTAGTGGGGTGTGCTTTGTTGTGGTGTGGTGCCCACAACAGTCCCTCTGGCTTGCAAAGATCCCCACAAGATCCAAAAGCACCGGCCCAAGATCCACAAGATCAGCCCCAGCACAGGCCCAAGCTGGCTCAAGTGCTGATCCAGGGCCTGTTTGCAGATCATTTGCTGCTCTCCGTGCTGTCACTTGCAGGTTGGGGGGCCCTAGAGTTTGTGGCTCTGGCCAGACCTAGCTGCAGCACTCTGCAAAGGGGAGCATAGGGTTGGGGCACTCTTTGACCGATTGTTCTTCATTGGTCCCGAGTGGGAAAACCAACAGAGCAAAGCCAAATTGCCCACCATTTCCTGGGAACTTCTAGCCATGTTAGTGTATTGCAGCAAAAACAAGGAAGAGTCTTCCACTGCACCTGAAAGCCTGAACAGATCTACTGGATCATACTCTGATAGACCAGCAATCCACAAATCAGCACATCAGAGCGAAGTGCCCCCAAACCACTGGTGAGCTGAACACTTGACCTACCACCACCCTAGAGGTCTTATTTCCACAGCAATTTTTGAGGAGGTAAGAAATTACAGGAGTCCCATCTGAGCAGTAGGAGAGAATCCTTCTGCTTCTTACTTTCACCCAACCCCATCCAGATGAGAGAAGGCCCTGCCTCTCTCCCAAGTCACCTGTGCATGCCGGAAGATATGAGGAAGCAAATTGGTGGTGATCACAAATAATGCTTGGCTAGTAAGCCAAGCTAACACATGTGGCCCTTTGGTACAGACTCAACCCTTTAGAGGTCATTGACATCAATGGCACCAGATTTAGCTGTATGATGATTTGGAAATTCATCAGCCTCATGCGATGAGAAGCAGCTCCATCAAAATAACAGCTCCACTGGGCTCTTCCTGCCCCTGAACTGTTTCCATAGCAGCTGACCATTATAAGAGCTACTATTTAACTTAAAGAATTTGTGTCCCGTCCCCCCCCCTTCCCTCCCCATCCCCTTTTGTGTTGCATCTTTTAGATTAAAATCCTGTCTTGTTTTAATCAAATGTCGGTAAGTTGGTCTGGGAGCCTTTTCGGCTGAAGAGCAGGTTAAACGTTCTCAAGAGAAGAAATTTGCAGACAGATATTATCTTACATGTGATGAAGACGGGCTCTAGTCCACAATGCTGTAAGACTCTGTTGTCTTTGGACACAAAGAGTTACTTCTAGAGTGACATTTCAGACCGGCTCCTGTGTCAGTATAACATTGCTCTGGCAAGGAGGGGGCGTAAGTTAAATACTGCTATCTGATTCAATGGAGAAAGATGAAATACATTGACTCTTCCCCTCAGTCCCATTCCACTGCAACGGAGCCTAGGATTCTGTCTAGCCTGACACCTAATCACAGAATATATGCGGTCCCAGGAAACCACCTGATTATACTCAGTTACTAATTGTCCTGAGCCCCCAGGCCTACCTGGCAGCCAGACAGTGTGCTAAGGCCAAGTTCAAAATCAGCGTCCACAATCTAAGATCCAAAGTTGAAAGGTCAGGAAACGAGGTCCAGTGTCAATGCAAGTCTGAAGTTAGGATGCAGTGCAGCGTCAAGCCCAAAGTACAGTCCCATGGAGGTCCAGGAATATCCAAGGTCCATCAACATGGGCAGTTGAGCAGACACAGCACCTTAGCTCTGCTTCCCTTTGGAACTTTGCATGCTGATTGCAGCATCTGGGCTTGACGAGACAGATGACCCTCACCTGTTCTGAGCCTGCTCCATCTGAGGAATCACACCTTTCTTCCCAGAGCTAATGAGCCCCACCTGGGCAGTTAAGGAGCTGGGCTGTGGGCCCTTGCCTGTCTCAGCCTTCTGGAGCACGCTGCCTGTTGCTCCCTATGCCTCAGAGAATGCTATGTTTGGAGAGACAGGGGTCCCTCTGGCTCTGATGATGGGTCCTGCTGCTTTGATTTCTGTGCACCAACCCCCATCCTCTCGTCCTCCTCTGGCACCCTGTGAGTACTTCCTATACTAACATCTCCTTCCCCACCCCCAGCTTGCCCCGGTGTGTCCCAGTCCTGGCTAAACCCCTGGCTGGGATCCTCCTCCTCTTCCTTTTCCCCGTAGTCCTGCCAGTTCGTGACACTAATCTCGGCATGCAATCTAATAATGCAGAGTCAGCAGCATATTTAAAATATTGAAAATTATTAAAATTAACAACAGCATTTGATTTTGTATCTCATCATGGATATCCAAAACACCCTTAAAATAGGACTGCCATAGCACATATTCACATCCGGGAATCAGACTGTTAAAAAGGCATCTGGGAGGATTTTCGCTGAATCGGCAAAATGTCCAGGGAAACCCGGAGGTATGGCAAGTAGGGCAATTTTTAAAGGGGAAAAAATGCTTTAAGAATTGAAAACAAGCCCCAAAACTTAAATATATTTGGGATAAATATTTGGGAATCAACAGATTCTCACTTTTGGGAATATGGCAACCCTACGAAAAAGAAACCAACTAGGAACGCAGGGCATCATCCAAAGGAGGAGGAGGGGGGATTACTGAAAACATCGCCCTTCCTGCAAGGAGAGGGACGAAGTGCTGACCTCATCCTGTAACCATGCTGTGAAAGTTCGGTCCTTCCTGTTCTTTTAAGGCAGCTGCTCCACGCAGAATAGGCTCCAGACCTTCAGATCGGAGCAAACTGTTCAGAGAGAGATTAGAAACCAAACACCTCTGCAGAAGAAACAGTACTTTCCTACGGAAAAGACGGCAATCACATTAATTTCCTGTAGAGGAGGCTTTCTTCATGTAGCCAACTTACTTTTCTTTTTAATTAAAACAGAAGGAGCCTAACAGCATGATATCCCACCCTCCACCCCAAGGAAATGTGGTTTGTCCCTAAGCCTTTTGAAATCAAGGGACTTGGGCCCATCGTGGCTACTAATCACAATGGCTATATTACCTCCAGAAGCAGATCTTTGAAGACCAGCTGCTGGGAATCACAGGTGATGAGGATGCTATTGCTCTGATGTCACATTCTTGGGCTTCCCATAGGCATCTGGTTGGCCAGGGTGAGAAGGGGACTCT